GTACGCTGACACTTCACCAACCTTCTGACGAGCACAACTTTTATAGTTGTATATTTAAGTATCTCACCAATCTCGTCTGTTTTTCCTATTAGCGTAGGACACTGCACTTTTCACCTATCACTTGACATGACAACTTTACAATTGTACCCATTTGTATCTGGACGAGAACACTCTGTCAGAGACCAGGTCATTTGTGAAGATCATCAAAACACCTAAAATATGACAACAATTAAATTATCTTCTTAGAATTTTTTATTTTTTTGCTATAGTTACACCGACTTTTGAGGACATAAATGCATGTTATTCTTCAATATTAAATAGTTCAGTTAATAAGTTAAATATTCACCGAAAAATCACCATTTTCAATAATAGAAATTAGTACTCTGAAATTGAAAAAAATACTATTTGTGTATATCGCTGGTGGTCAACATTTTAGAAAGAACTATATATAGAGGCTGGATGCATCAGAATTACATGAAATCAGGGTTCATTAAGTCCTTGTTACTTTATAATGGTTTTTAAATTAAAAATTAAAAAAATTAAATTTAAATGACTTTTAATTATTTTTTTTAAAAAAAAAGATAAAAGGAGACTACTTTTAATTTTTTACCTATTTAAAATTATTTTTAATTTTATCACTCCCAATTGTTAAAAATGACATAAAATTAAATTTGATAAATTTTTTTAAATCAACTCAAATAGACTCGTCCTCAACAAAAGCAAATTTCTTTAAAAAATATATTAGTTTGCCTTTAAATAAGAAAAAGTTATTTTTCTATTGAAATAATATTATTCACCCAAGCGTCAAAAATTATAAATTGTTACTTTACATCATCAAAAATATTATTCACCCAAGTGTCAAAAATTAGAAATTGTTACTTTACATCATCAAAAATATTATTCACCCAAGCGTCAAAAATTATAAATTGTTACTTTACATCATCAAAAATATTATTCACCCAAGCGTCAAAAATTATAAATTGTTACTTTACATCATCAAAAATATTATTCACCCAAGTGTCAAAAATTAGAAATTGTTACTTTACATCATCTTTCTTATTTAAACTTATTACTCGTTTTACTTAATGCAGTCATGTTATATTGTTAATATTCTCATATAATATAATGAAATACTTTTCTTTTTAATTTATTCAATTTATTTAATTAAGTATATATTTTAACAATTAGAAATTTTATAATTTATAATTTTAAATCTATCATAATACTTAATATTTGAAAATTTTAAAATTTATCATCTTAAATATGTCATAATTGATTATAATTTTAAACAGTTAAGTTCGCCATGTTTCAGTAAATGCTTACTCATTTTGTTGACATATGTATAGAATAATCTTGCTCCAATACCTACCTGGATACACCTCTGTGACACAAATATAGGGGTGATCACAAAAATATAAATATAATATTGTATAATACACCTTAAAAATTGAGAAAAATGAATCAGAACCAAACTATATAGTAAATTACATTGTTCCTTGGTTTTTATGAAACTGCTATATAGTAGCTAGGAAGGTCAAGTCTTATTTCTATGGAAAAGTATCGAAAAAATTTGTTTTCGTAGAGATACAATGAATAAAAAGCATGTGAAACGTTGTTAACAGTTTGACACATAGATAAATAAATCATTTGTCGAGATCTAATTCTCATGAGCTCAACCTGGCAAGAGTTATTGTGTTTTGCTTAGTACATTCTTTAACATTCATTCTTAACGGAGAAGGCTCAAACCCGTTGGTGGCCTAAGGCTAAAATCAAATTAGAGGCCTTAATTTTTTTTTATAAATAATGTTATTTTAAATCTATTTTTCTAGCTTTTTGAGATACAAAGTTGCTAATAATTTTTCACGTAGTTAAATAAATCGACATTGTGAACTTTTATATTTTGCAAATATCTTATGAATTCTTTATCTTATCTGTCCCAGTCTTGGTGGACAGAGTTACCTCGTAATTCTTGTTGGTAGGAGGTGGCAGGTATCCCATGGAATTACACCCAAGCTGGGTCTCATAGCACAATTATTATAAAAGTAGAGAAGAACTTATGAGTTCTTTACATTGCTAAAATCTATATCTTGACAATGAGGCACATAAATGCTAAAAGGTGAGAGGAAAAAGAACAAGCAGTGATTCTTAATATTTCAACAAAAGGAGCACAAGTTGGGCATGAGTTCTTTGGAGCTACTATAACTATCTTCCACAACTCAAAATGCTCAAAGTGATTGCAAAAGAAAATAGAAAACTTTTGTATTTTGGTTTATCGAAATATATCTTAAATACAAGCCGAAAATCAAAAAGGAAAACCAATTGAAGAACCGAATTTATTCAGTTCGGTGTGGCTTTTCAGTTGAATGCCCACACCTAAGTCTGAGAAGCACTGAGAGGAAGACACAACTTGAAGGAGCATTAAGTTGATCAATGAAGGAGAATTGTAAATGTGACCTTGAACAATATCTTTATTAAAAAAAGTTTCCAGCAATCATAGTATCTAAATTTGGCTATAGGCTGAGGTTAGAGAGCTTTCACAAATTAATTTATTTTCATTGTAAAAAATAATAAAGATGTATAAATGGCACCGAGAAATTTACTCATATGGATGCTAGAACTTTGGAGTTGTATGTTTCAAATGTTCTCAGCGCAAGCAAGATATGTGGTCTAAGGGAAGCATGAGTATAAATTCACTTGGCTTAATGAGGACTGGGAGTTTTAATGCATCTGTGATGCCTAGGGGGAAAAGAGAAGTTCTCTTGTAATGTAGGAAATGCTGTGGGGTAATTGCTTTTTGCTGTTTCAATATAAGTATTCACTGAAATGGTTTCTATTCTAACTCTCATCTGTCTGCTAGAATGTCTGAGAATTGGCAGATTCATGATCTTGATGGAAGCGTGGCGTGCTTCCTAATAGAATCAGTATGGATTTCACAGAAACGCATCCTAATATATGTTTAAACTTCATGAAATGTTTACTATTATTGTGAGTCGTCGAGATCCAATTTTCATCAGCTCAATCTGGCAAGAGTTTTTGTGTTATGCTTCATACTTGTTCAACATATCATCCTTAGTTTGAACTCTGAAGCATCCTCAATTGGTGCCTCGATGCTTATTTGATGTGTTTTTGCATTGATTATCCTTGTTGAATGGTGGTAGTATATCACATTTCAAGATGATCACAGACCTGACCGACAGTTTCAAGTAATAGTGTGTGTTTTTTCCTGTTGCAAGACTACAGACAAGTAAGCTTAGCACCTTGGGTTTACAAGTTGAAATGAAGAAAATAACTTTCTTAATGTTTTTTTTTATTTCAAGGAATTGTAGTTTTTTTCGATTCCAATTTGAACATTGTTTAAATTCTGTTTAGAGCCTGTTTGGATTAATTTATTTTAAATAGTTTCAAGTTTAAAACCATTTTTATACTATTCAAAAAATATAAAAAGATTTTCAAAATAAAAAATATGATTTTTGGCTTTTAAGTTCTTATAGATAATCCAAATAAACTCCAATAATATTATGGAAAATGTTACATTTTCATTCTTTTATTATTTCGAGTTTTTGATCAAAATCATTCTTAAATTATGTTCTTAAAATATATTTTTTCACAGATTGCATTCAATTATTTAAAAGTGAATAATTTTAATCCTTCTATTAAAATTTATCAGAAAATTAATAGATCCCACAAAAATCAAATTATCCCTTAAGTAAATTCTTTTTTAAATTGGGGATTAACACTTTGCCAGAGTAATTGAACTATTTTTTATATCATAAACGGAGTGTTTGGTATGACAGAAAATGTTTTTTTTTAAAAGAAAGATATTTTCAATTTCAAAAATATTTCTAGTTTAGTAAAAATAAAAGATATTTTTTAAAAATATTTATCATTCATAAATCAAACACTAAAAAAAAATTTATCAAAAAATATTTTTTATTTACCAATCAAACATAAAAAAAAACTAAAAACCTACTTATTTTTTAAGAAAACATTTTTAATAAAAAACATTTTCCATCCTACCAAACACACCCAAAAATCAAAATCTATCTCCCATTGCTCGTTAGTTGGTCAACTGGTCAACCCTAATATGTAGTACATTTTACCTGCACTTTTAGTTGACCAACACTTAAATTTTTTAAAAAATATAACAAACTCATTATATTTTTTAAAAAAATTATTTTCGGTGAATTTTTTTTTCCTTTCTTACCAAACACACTTCCACTTAAGTTAAGGTGAGTAGCTTTTTAGTTTACAAAACATTTTAATGATTTTAGTGTGTTTTGTCTATGAAAAATAAAAATTGAGATAAGTGAAAGGTAAAAGGGTAAATATCCCTTAAAGGGTAGTCGTTGGTAACGAACTCTTTTCTTTTTCAGTATAAACAGAGCCCAGCTCTTCTTCTTCACTTTTCTTCATCAGTTTTCCGATTCCGTTTTCTCTCTGCAAAATAAAATAAAATGAAATTCTCAGAGTTCGAAAGGAATTTGAATAGGGAATACATGACGAATCCAGATGAAGCGTGCTCACGAAAGCTTGAAGAGGGTACATTCATCATTACAGCTTCAATTTTTCATTCTCATCAATTGATAAAAAAATGTAACAGTAGAATAGTTTTTTTTTTATTATGATTCTGGAATTTGTGATTGAGACATCGAGAAATCAACATTTTGTTTGCATATTGCAGATCAGAAGATGATGCTAATTTCTTAAATTTAAAATAGTGATGAATTTCGGTTATCAGAAGATTTTTAGGTATTGCTGTAATGATAGTCGGTTTGATGAATTTCAGTTCTCAGAAGTTTTTGAAAAGGATAGATAAATCTTATTAATCATTCAAAACTCAGTTAATGATAGGTATTTGAATATTAAAAAGTGGTGTATATATACATGTTTTGGTTAACAGACTGAATATTTAAACAAAAAAAAAGAATCTAAACCACATCTTTTAAATTTAAATCACCACGTGGCTTTTAATAATTACCACACCTTTTTTTCCTTTTTACCCTATGGCCTATAGTTCAACCAACTAAAAAGAAAATAATTTATCTTTTCTTTAAACCCAATCCGAACCATTTTACTATTATCGTTAGAAGAGGAATTGAAAAGGTAAAAGTGTAAATATCCCAAAAAAGAATAACGGCAAGGGGTTAGTCCGTTGGTAACGAACTCTTCTGTGCAAAACTATACACAGAGATGACGCTCCTCATTCTTCTTCATCACTTGCAATTTCTCTGCAAAACGGAAAGAAGAAAAAATGAATTTCTTAGTGAATTTGTACTTCAATAGGAATTGGACAAGACAAGACATGATGAGTTCTGCACCAATTACCCAGCACGCTTACACAAGCTTGAAGACGGTATGTTTACACAACACAAATGTTGTAATTTAAGATGTTGTTACTAGAATAGATGATGCTAATTTAATCCCCAATTCTTATGAATTTTGGTTCTCCGAATAATCATAGACATACTCGGTGTGTTTTCTACAGTTTCTTGTAGTTCAGTAAGAAATAAGGATGAATTACAGATTCTCAGAAGATTTTGAAGTTTGACGTTTTAATAGTAAAAAACGATTTGGAGATTTGGAGTAACATGCAACCTGTCATTAGCAGTTCGAATCGAGTTTTCCCTATTCCGTCTTGAAAGTTGTTTGTTAGAGTAGTATAGATTATGATAATGGAAGAACACATCAAAGTTATTTGTTAAAATTTTGAACAGTTTAATGAACTTAATTAATTCGCATTTTTCATATAAGTATTGATTAGTTTTTGCTGAAACTATAGGTATATGTTACTCTCTTGTTGGCCATATTGGCCACTACTTTTGGATCCTACTTGCACTTGATCTGGGAAACAGGGGGGATGTTATCGGTAATTAAATGTGGATCAAGTTTACTCTTGCTTTACCGTACACCACAACAGAGAGTGGTAAGTCATCAATGACTCATAGATTGTCTTCCAAGTTGTTCAATTATTCTTCAAGTCGGCTTCTTATATTGTAACTATCTTCTGTCTATGTAGTTGTCGAGGCTCTTATACTTGATGGATGTTGCCATTTGCTTCGGTGCTTCTGTTGGCCTTTTTACTAAGTATTTCTTTGAAATCGATCAAAGGTAAAGACTCCAAAGATAATCATTATATGTACCAATATTTGACTATTATGACTAGCATTGAGTTTTAGAATGTTGGTTTGATATTAACATTGAACTAAATTGATGACTAGCATGGATTTAGGGGACTGGAATGGAATTACAGCTACCAAATTATATTCTTTAGAAACCGGAAACAGTTTTGAACTATATTGGCTTATGAATGAGAGAAGTTGAGCAATACAGACACCAAACTGTGATGAGTACTTTATTAGCACCTTGTTGTTCAATATCTTACTTCAGAAATCTCTCTCTCTCCAGCACTGTCATTAGATTTTTGCAAGGTGCAGCAATTGTCTTTGGATGTTTCTGGTGTGCAGCAAAAGTACATAGGGAAAGGAGCTACATCTACATCACTAGCTTGTTTAGCACTTGTATTCTAATACTACTGCGGTTTGACGTTTCTCAGTGGACGCTAAAGGTGAGAAAGTTGTGCGCATACAATGTGTTCACACGCATCCTATAACACAGTTGTTCCCTTGTTCATAAATCAGTAATTTTGCCTCAAACTTAATATATATGCATAATTACAATGATTTTGAACTACTTGACTCTAGTTTTATGAATAATATGACTGACTTGAATAGTGCTTATGACAGGCATACGTTCTGCTGGCACTCTTTATGGGGTACCTTGTGCTATATAGCCAAGAGATACTGTACAATGCTCGCTTTGGAGATATTAACTTTGCCAACTGCGCATTCACTATCTTCTTCTGTTTACCAGCTATTGTGGTCCATGCTGTAAGACTATGCCTGGGTGCAAACATGCATTGAGCAACACCGACAGAATTAGTGCTGATACACTTGGAACTATATATATACTCTGTGATGAAGAAAACATTGAATAGGATATACTATGTGATGACTACATTTTCTGTAAATGATGACTGCATTTTACTGTAAACTCATAGTCTGAAGCCAAGTGCTTTGAACAAATATACTTTGTGATGAAGAAAACTTTGAATAGAATATACTGCAGAATTGTTCTTTCTTTTTTCAAGACATGATCACTCCATTCACCTATCAAGTATTCTTTCCTGAAAAAAAAATTATAATGACAAAATCACTTAACGTAATCGAAGTATCACTAAATTGAGATTAGGAATGAGATCAAGAAATGAATGCTGTGAGAGCTTACTTCAAAAGGGATTGGATAAATGAAGATATGACGAATACATGATCTTGTTATTGATAATGCAAAAATTCTGAATACAAGGACTTGTGAGATTTCCATACCTAAATGTGTTGGGTAATCTGTTACTGCAAGACAAGGGTATTGGAATTGGACTAACTGATGGCATGAGACATAATCATCATTCTCCGTGGCGTTCTTGAAGTTAGATAAAAATGGCTATTACGATCACATAGTTATCGTAGTAATATATTATTCCATACATTTATTTCATTTTATATAATCTATGTAATTTGACGGAACATAAGTACATTTCAAACTATAAACTATTGTGAATGAATTTCAGAAGACTTTTTTTCAAAATTCTCAAACAAACCCCCTAGGATAAAAAAATGAAATTTATTTCAAATTAATAGTCTTAGTAGGCGTATGACTATAGATTTCAAATTTTTTTTAAAAAAATTATATACAGTATAAGCTAGCATATTTCATTCCTTATTATCAAAATTCATTTCTATGAACAATATAATAAATAATCTGTCCAAGGAAATAAATTAGCTTACGTGTCTTCCCATGATTGGTCCTCTGAAGTCCAATTCAAACAGCTCCTATATATTACTTCACATTTTTCATTTCTCACAATAACGGCTTTCTTTCTTTCTTTCTTCTTCTTTCTTCTTCTTGTTTTTTTTTCTTTCTTTTTTCTTCTTCTTCTTGATTTCTTGAGGAAGAGGGTGATGGGGAATTGTTAATTTTTGGATTATTTGCATTAGAAAGAGGAAATGACGATGACCCACAGTAGGTGTTCGCTAGTTTCAAGTGCGGTGACGAAGAGACAAGCAATGGCGGCGGATTCATCGGGATCGGAGAATAATCAGGCCGGAAAATTGAATGCTGGAGCGTCCAAGAAACGACCGGTAATTTCTAATATCTTGAATTCATACAACTGTATCTGCTCGTAATGCCATTTCTCATTCCTCCAAACTTGTGAGTGTTTTTTGGTTTACTGGGTTTTATCTTCTCTTTTTGATTACTGGTTTGATGATTCACTTTTATGAATGTTGGGTATGGGGTTTCTTGGTTAAATTTTTGTAAATGTGGGTGGGTTTTTGTGATTTCTTTTTTGGGGGTTTTCTTCTTGGATCATTAAATAAGTAAAATGGCTAATGTTACATGGGGTTTCATGGAAAAATGATTGAAGATACTGGTTGAAAATTATGTGATTTGAGGGTTTTTGATATGAGGGTATTTAACAAGGGATGTGTTTAATCTTTTTAAAGATTATGACTGGGTTAAGTATTCTTTCTTAATGGTTAAAAAGTATTATGAATGGAAAATTTGGAACATCTTCTCCCAATTCCTGTTTTTTGGTTTTTTTCTGTATTGTATTGTTCCTTCTGTATGATGCATAGTACTGCCTTTTATGGTCTTGGACAAAAAGCTGAAGAGCTTGGTTTCAATCTGCCCTGGCTTTGTATAGAAAGGGAGTTGTAAGTGTTCTTATCTTGGTCTATCCTGGTGGTTCTGTTGAATCGAATTCGAACATAAATAAAGTGACTTTCATTATAAAACTTTAAGACAGAAGGAATCATAATGTGATTAGCTTGTACACTTTAATCAATTTAAACTTTCTCAGCATCTGACCCAAAGAAGCGGTGAACGAGAGCGCAACTCATTATGATGACTGCACCACAAAAATGAGCAAGCAGCACATAATGAAGGCATCTTAAAAAAGAGAATAAACTAAAACTTTAGTAGATCAACCAAATATCAACCTTCAATGAGTGTGCTTCCCCTGCATAATTTGTTTCCTGTTAGTAATCTCTTCCCTTTTTGTTCACAAATAGTACTAGATTTCTAGAAAATAAAACTAGACCTCAATCTTGAAGTTTTAAGTGCCAAATCTCACTTTGAGAATTTTACAGCAACCACCCATTCACACACTTACCCCACAAAAACAGAACATTCACAAAAACTAAAAACCCAACATACAGAACAAAGCTGAAACTAATCACCAACCATCAAAACTTTGATACCCACAAGCATTCACGTATTCTTCTATTTTAAACTAAATAAGGGCATATCAGACTGACTTGTCTAGTGCAAATACTTGTTATGATTCACTCTATTACTTCTGGTACTGTCAAAATTATCATCAATGCTCTGAAAATAGTATATCACTCTTTATGGTGTTTTCTTCATCTTAATGAAAATTCAGCAGTCCTGTTTGTTGGCAGCTCTTCTAGTAAACAGAGTAATTAAATAAATTTTTATCTCCTCTACTAAAGGAAATTTCTGATAAGTTTGCATATGGAGGGAATTTTGTTTTTTGTATTGCTTTTATATATATCAAACCTTACTTGCTGCAGGTACATGCATTTGTCGCTCCCAAAATTATAGGTGGGAAAAATGCTCTGTCTCCAGTTGGGGAACTTGGAATGGTAGAGATGACCCAGGCTCTGGAACTAATTGATGTTTGCTATGAGCAGGTGTGATAGGCCTCTCCTTGAATTTTTCTGATTATGTGCATAGCAGATCCATGTTTCGCTGTAACTTTTCCTCAACCATCCTTAGCGCTGGGTTGTAAGTAGCCTATTTATAATGGAAGGAATAAAAAAAACCTTCCTAATACGCCCAATAACCTCCGTGACAAGCTGTATGCAGAAGCTTATATATTAAAAAGTAGCACCATAACAGCGCTATCAGTAATTACAAAAAGTGGAACACAAAAAGTGGCTTTCACCTTTCCTAAGAAGACGAGTCACTCCTATAGTCCTTTTAGGTTTCTAAGTACTAGCAAACACAGAAATTTTTAGAAGTTTTCATGTTAGTGGAAGACTCAGCATGTGGTAGCTTCATAAAGCAGAATGATATCAAACTCAAATCAAGTAGAAGGCTGCAGTAGGTTAATGGCTAGTGTGACATAGTCTTAGGTTTGATAAATCATTTCTACTAAATGGACTGAATAGGAATTATTACTCAAAGGATTCATGTAGCTGACCTCAACTAATTTGTGATTGAGGCATAGTAGATTATTTATGTCGATTTCTTACTTTGAAGGGAACATTAGCTTTCAAAATGGAAGAAGCTAAAGAAAATCGGTTAATGTTTTAGCTTTTATCAAAGGATAAGTAGGAATTGAAAGACAAATTACATATTCCCGTGTTACTTTTATCTCTTTCAAATAAATAAAATAAAAATTACTCTGTTAGGTTCCTAATTCAATATCCATGTTCCCTATACTTGCATTCTAACTACACTGTCTTTCTTT